GCTACAGATTTCAGTTCCATACTCCTTCCCCCGCCCTTTCCTGTTGCTAGTGGCCAAGGGAATGCTGGGAAATGTAGTTCTTTCCCTGCTGCAGGGCTGGCTCTATAGGCAGGGAGCTAACCAAGGAACTACAGCTCCCAGGGTCCCCTGTTGGTTCTCAGCTCCTATGCTGGATTCTTGTGTCCCTTGCAAATCTGCTGCCCCAAGCAACTGCTTGCTTTGCTGGTGCCTAGAGCTGGCCCTGGTCCCTGTGCAGAGCAGCTAGCAGTGAAGGGGGTTAGGCGTGTAACAAATTATTTCTAAATAACACTTTCTCCGTCAAAGATTATTATTTGCTGAGTAAATAGAATGAAGCCTTTTAAAATCACCTTTCAGAGGCCTACTCACCACCATCTTCGATAGTTCTTCCATTTCTAGGCTGAAAATGTAATTAAATAATCATATTGACATCAGAAAAGTAAATGCAGCAAAAGATGACTCCCATAGTGCATTTAGGAAAATCATAAAATCTTGTTCCAAATTTACCACACGTGGCTGATGGGTCTTGAGTGAAAATAGGGCTTATCTATGGGGTGGGTGAATTCCCATGGTCTGTAACATCTTCAATCAGCCTCTGGACTGAAGAATCTGATTAATTTTTTATGCAACATCTTGGTTCCAATCAACAAGATATATAAGCATATGCCTAACTCTGATCATGTGAATCATACCACTGACATCACTTGGAATATTGACCTGTGTAGAAGGTAGGCACATTTTTAAGTATCCTGCTAAATCAGGGCCCGGGTTATAATCAGGGCCTCTTTTTAACTGATTTTTCTTGTTGTGTTGATAGAGGCATGTGAAAAACATTTTGCCCAGGTCAACATAGTGTGTCTCTAGCTGAATCTGGGTTAGAACAGGATCAGCAAGATACTTACTTTGGGCAAAGATCCAACAGTCACAATGAGAAAAAAAATAACCACAGATGATTTTCATAATTTCCATTTTTTTTACTCTGTTGTGCACTGAATGTGTTAATCGGATCATTTGGTCAATGCACTGCTAATGCTTATGTTTGTCTGCTGAATTTAGTGCCAGTGCACTAGTCAGTCTAACAGGAAATAAACATTTGGCCCCAACCCTATCTCTAGGTAGAACAGCTCAAGGGATAACATTTTAATGGTCACCCCTGTAGAACAGAAAGTTTTAATCCATTAAAATGGATTTCACAGTCTTATAGACCTTTTATTCTAACCACCGCACCACATTGACTCCCTAAGCTTTTCAAGCAATGACCTTAGACTGCAACATCTATAGAATACCAGGCAACAATTTTTAGATGTAAACGGTTTTATATTGTTTTCTATGGCTATATGAAATTGTATATGATTCAAAATTGTAAAAAGGAAAAGACAAATCTGATACCCTGAAAAGAAAAAAAGGCCGTCCCATGGTACCAGCACTATCCTGTAAAATAAAACACAAACCATTAAAAATACGTGTATTTTTAAACTATAGTATGGCTATATTGACAAGTCTCTGTGTCACTGTCAGAGCTGTTGTCATCAATAATTCAGGAGCCTTTTCAGCAGTATGCAAATAACTAGATACTGCTAGTCCCCAGTGCCCATTCACCTGAACTACTGATTAAACATTAATACCGAGAGGGAATTGTCAAGAATCATCCATTTTGCCTGATGTACATATATTAAAAAACCATAATTAAATATGATGTTGCATGGGCTTTAGAAAATAGCTTGAAGGCTGATTTAGAAGTGATTGATTATCTCTCAGAAGCAGCATGTGAACAAGTTCAGAACAACTGTGGTCTCTGATTTTTTTTTTTAATCTAAATTAAGTTAACGTACCTTTTTTGTAAACTCTGCAGCAGCAATCTGTGATTCCTGCAAGGTGATAGTGCATATCAGTTTTAACATATCCAGCTGTTCATGAGATTTTCATAATCCTCTAGTACAGGTTAAGTACATTGCTCCAATCCGTTTTTTTGGGGGGGGAAGTGAGAATTTTAAACACAAATCAGATAGTTACAGGAAATCTAGAAGCAAATCAAAATTTGCTGCCTTTATTTTAAGTATTTCTTTAACTGATTTCAAGGTAAATACATTCTTGTCACTGTAATTCAAATTAGACAGTCATGCTCTTGTGAACAATGCAGTGCCTGAACTGAAGTGAACATAAGGAACAGCATTCACCAGGTTTCAAAGTAATATTGATTTTTCTTGCCTTGTTGAAATGTGGTTGGTTCCCCATCTTTAAGATTTCCACTGATTTTTTTTTTTAAATCCAATCTGGGTTGCTGCTACTAAACTCAGCTCATGCTGTACTTATTTTTCAGAAGGTAGTTCATTCTGGGACCAGTCTTGCACTACTGAAGTCAATGCAAGTTTTGCCATTGACTTCAGCGGCAGCAAGATCAAGCCCTGTGTGAGTGAAGGCTCTGATTCTTCAATCTGATCGGCAAGGACAACCCCTTGTAGAGCCCCACTGACTTTGACTGGACCTTAAATGGAAAAAACAACATTTAGTAGCATCAGCAGAGATCAGTGACAGCAGCAGCTGCACCAGTGATTGGATTTAATTATCAGGGATAAGTTTTAAAGATGAGTAAGTAAAATGGAAGACTAGAGCAAGGATGTAAAAATAAAGGAGGAGAGGGGTCAGAAAATGGGGAACAGACAGCAAGAGGAAGAAAAGGGGAGATGAGGTTGAAAAGGGAAGGGAAGGAATTTAAATTTAAAAAAGGAAAAATAGAGAAGGAAAGAGGAGAGCTCAGGACAGGATATAAAGCAAGGGGATTTTCCTTTGTTAGATATTTACAGTTCGAACATTGAGACAATGATTTATAAAACAATTGAAATTAACTTTTAGTGCCATAAAATACTATGGAAGAAACAAGTGCATACTGGATCAAGGAATCTTTTCATTCTTCTCTCAGAGAGCTTTGAAGCAAGGCGCATTAAAGGATGCACAGGGGAAGACTACAACAAAGAGATATTGTGAACACTAGTTTTGTATTAAGATCAATTAGACACACAACATTCAAACATAGTTGCTGACTAAAAGTTTTTGATAGCCTGGAGCTTCAAAAATCAGACTTATTTATAATACAACTTAATTTACTTTAGTGCAGAATCATTACAAAACATGAGCTTCTTAACAGAGCTTTGTAATAATCATAGGTTGAATTTTCCAAGAGTCTAGTTGAGATAAGGACCTAAATTCAATGAGATTTGGGTGCTCCCTTGGGCTCCTTTGAAAACTCCAGCTGTAAAGCTTACACAAAGATTGGAGGGAGAAACTAAACTCTCTACCCAGTTCTTTCAGGTGACTTTAAGAAATGCTACACTTTGGGTGAAATACTGGGCATTTTGCCATTGACTTCAGTGGGGCAAAGATGTCATTCCTTGTGTTAAAATTTAATCTTAATGCCTTAATCAAACTCTAATCCACATGATGCCACACAAATTCATAGGACCATGTAAGAGGAGGATCTATTCAATAAGAAATGGCATTTTATGCTAAGGCTGAATTTAGCCCATAGTTTCCAGGGTATTGGGGAAAGTTCAGGTGGGCCAGAGACAGGGAGATTGATGTCCTAATAGATCTGTGAAGCTGGACAAAAGTTTAGAGTTCACATGAATCCTTCCTTCTCCACCTCACAGCTGGACCTAATCCTGGCTCTGAGCCATTCTTATAGCTTCTAATAAGGCGCCAAATAGACCATATTCTCGAAATGTGGCCACAAACTGCTATGAGGCAAAGGTCAGTTACATCGCTTGGAAAGATGCAATATGGGTCATCTTCCAAGCCTGAAGAATGATCAGATAGCGTGAAATCTTGGATCCACTGAAGTCAACTGCAAAACTACCATTGACTTCAATGGGATCAGGATTCCACCCATAATTTCTAGCTGACTTTGGGAACCCCTAATCAGCATTTTGTGGGTTTGTGGTTTAGCTAACATTGTATTAAATATATTTACTACACAGTCAAGGTCTAAAAGATGTTTGTTTGGTTTTTATTTTGTTTTGCTTTTGTTTGGGGAGGGCTGTAAATTAGAATACAATGTAAAGACTGTAATGCTTTTTTATTCAATTTTTTAAAAAAATGTGCTCAGAATTAGAAGGTAAAGAAACTGACAAGAAAGTATAGAAAAGATAGAGAAGCACCTTTTAAGAACACTTCCTGTAATTATTTTAAAGTCATTGCACGTGATCTGAGTAAACATTGTCTGAAACTCCATAATCATGGTGCATTTTATCCTTTTCTGACTAAAGCCATTCAGATATAAACAGGGTTCAAGGAGCTCTGTAATTTTTGTGGGTAAATCCTCTTGAATAGTTAGCATTAACCAAAAAGGTGCACTAGGAAAAAAAGGCTTTGTGGGCTGATCATGACATTGACTACAATCAACATGAGTTTAGGGCCTCAGTTGAGGCCTGAACTTCTATAGATGTTTGAGCAAGGTACTTAAGCACGTGAGACACCCCTGCTGAAATCAATGACTCTACTCACATGCTGAAAGTTAGGCATATGCTTAAGTACATTGCTGAATCATAGACTTAGTAAGCATCTTGTTCACATAGTTATGCTATGCAAAAGTGATGATTATGTTAAAATACTGACCCCAGTTTTAAGTGGATATGTTGGTTCTTGAACTCTGGAGTAGTGAAATAAAAACTGCATAAAAAGAGCAATTTTAGTATACAGTCTTATCGAATTTAAGGGTTGAAGTCATATGCATATATTACTAAGATGGAAAAATACTTACTCTTTTATATATGTCCTCATTGTTTTCCTAGTAAAGATAATGATGATAGTCAAACTCTGTTTGGTTGGACAAAATGTTGGGAAAGTTTTCTTCAAGGAAAGAAAATCATTAGACCTTACCTCCTCTATCTGCATGCTATTAAAAATAGCATTACAAAGATCCATTACTTTACTGGAGATCTAAAAAAAAATAATTTTTTAAACATACATTCATTTATGGTATGTTTTGTACATGACTTTTGAGGTAAGAAGCCTAATTTTCATCGCCAACAGTTTAAATCATGAGTAATTCTGAAGCCAATGGCATTATTCCAGAGTAAATCTTTCTGCAGCTACCAGATATAAAAATTACATAATATTTTATATCAGGAAAAAGTTATTAGTACATTAATTATGTCAGCATAATCATATGCTGCATACAAAACAAATACTTACAATCGAATTTCACTAAATGATACTATGGGAAAATAGAACATAAGCCAGCAAAACCATTTACATCATTACAGCTGAGTATTCAACACCTTGGAGGAGATGGAAGAGGCATTTATATTTATCATTTCAGATACTAATTTTAATTGTTATGGGATAGCCAATGTACCTGGAAGAGTTGAGTCAGTTCAATAAATTATTAAGTCCATTTACCTGGGGTTGATTAGACAGTTCTGTCCACTGACTGAAACACAGTGCCAGCTTAAAAATAAAGATTAGACATTAAGATCAGTTATACACTTAAACCCGTATTTTAGCGTGAGAAAATTGAGCGTTGGTAATATTCTACCAAGGCCTTTCCCAGCTCAGATACTCTTAATGTGTGTATTTTGTTAAAATGGGCAGCAAAATGTTGCTTTATAGACATACGCTAACTGGGAGATGATCGAGTGGACATTCCCCCATTTCATGTTATTGTTAATTCATTGATTTATTAATTCAACCTCAACTGTAACCTAGATTTGATCATTGCATTGTCTTATATTTTCAATTAGTTTAGCGAAATTGTAAGTAAATTAGTCAGTAATATATTTGTTTAGTGTCCTATTTGCTTGTTTATTTTCTTTGTAAAACCCATATAAGTGATACCAAACTTGTTTCTCTCTCAGAATTGCAGCATAGTCAATGACCTACAAAAGGCATTGGTGAGCCCTAGACCCGCTCCTGAATTATTCCACTCTGCATATTTATGTGTGTGTTGTTAGAAAGGGTAGCAAAGAGTTTTTAATAATGCATCCTTAGCCACTGGCTAACCGGAAAATGATCACGTGTATTCGGTTTCTCATTCCCTAATGGTAATTCAGCCGTGTTTCAGTGTCCCCTGCACTGTTATGAACATGCTTCCAGTTTATGATTGCCATGTTATGAAAATGTTTCGTACCTCGCTTTTAGGAATGTCTGGCGCATCCATAGAACGGGAGACAGGCTGAGGAAACCCTATTGAGATAAAGCATTCACAAATATTATTTCCACTAAAAGGGTGACTGTGCCCTTCATTTGAAAGCTACCATAGTACAAATTCAGGGAGCGGATTCTCCAAGACCACGAGGAAGCTATAACGGGTCCACAACTCCGGTACAAATGAAACCCGAGCCGGGTTAAAACACTAAGACAGAGAGAGGGCTTAACAGGGGTGCTTGGCTTTGTTCTTTTAAAAAATATTTTTCAACGAAGAGCAAAAAAAAAGTATCCTTCCAATGTGAAACTCTAGAGCAAAAAATAACCCAACAACGCCCCCCCCCCCTCGGCTGGCGTGCATTACAGGGGCAGATCTAGATGTCGGGATGGGCAGCCCCCAGGCCTATCCGGAGTGTACACACACACGCCTCCGAACTGCTCCCAGGATGTGCTGTGATGCCGAATCCCCCAGTTCTCTGTGCCCACCACCGGGCACATCAGCGGGGTCCCGTGCATGCCCCGAGCGCGCAGCCGAGAGCAGATCCCGCCCCCCTTCAGCACCCTGGACAGAGGCGCCGGCAGAAGAGGCAGTCCCCAGCCTTCTCTTCCTCAAACTTTCCCTGCTCGCTTTAGCCTCTTGTCCGCCCTTAGCACTGACAGCTGGTGTCAATGGGGGTAGCTCCGCTGAGGCTCTGGTCCCAGGGCTATATTCATTCCCTCTTTGCCCACCAATCCCCCGGGGCTTATTGAAAATGTCCATTTCTCATGTTCAAGTCACTTGTCCCGGTCACTTTGATAAGAACCTATTGTGCACCTACTAAGAGCCCCCCCGTTCATCAAGTAAGGGGCATGTCACCCAGCCCCCTCCTGCCCTGCTGCCCCCTTCAAATGAGCACTGTCTAGTCTTAAAAACTGTAGCAGCCCTTCGGTCTTTTGCTGCTGATGGTTTGGGAGGAAGGACGCCAATAGCCAGGTCCTTTGTTTAAACTATTTGCAGCCTTCATCCCAGCACGTTCTGCTCCTTGGAAGAGCTTAATGTTAGAGATCAGGTTCAAATTAGTTTGGAACAGGTGTTCTCCGAGTCTGAAGCGAGCCTAGCTTCTCCGAACTGCAAAGCAAAGCCAGGAGTGTGAGGGAGGGAGAGAGAACTAGTTAAGTTTTCTGTATTAGTTCTGTTCTAGCGACTATTCTTTATCCACATAGATCAGGTACGTAGGAGGCAGTTATGGGGATAGATCGGGTCTTACCTGAGGTGAACTGTAGAGCACAGAAGCAGTAGAGAGCGAAGATCAAAGGGAAGGGGGAAGGATGTTGTTTCATTTTCAGCCACCGGTTCCTTCCAGCTAGGGACAGACTTTGGTTGTTCTGCCAGGACCTGAGCATTTCACATCAGACTTCAGATGGCAAGGTGGATGCTCAGCCTGTGGGCGACTGGCCCAAACTGGAGACGTGTATTTGTAACAAGTTGTATCCCATTGCGAGGGGAGCCAATCAGCACTGTGCATGGGCCTGGTTTTCTCAGTCATAAGTGTCACGCTGTGCTTTTATTTATGCAGCAATATCTCTCAAATCAACGCTCTCTGCAACTCGACCTCAGCCATTAGTCAAGACTCCAAGAACACAGAATGGAGAAGTTTAGAATCCGCATTGCCTCTCTCTGTATAAAAAAGGCTTTACATGAAAACTGCTCTCATGCAAACAGGCTGTACTACAGACAGGTTGTACATCGACACTCCACAGGCCAGAACTGACAGCAAGGAGGAGCAGTTGCTTTCTGTGAGAAAGGAATTAGATTAGCCAAAGTAGCATGATTCTGTTCCTGTCAGGACACACAGGCAGGGCAGCAGTACCTTGTGGTAAAAACCAGTGGTAGAATGAGCAGCTTCAACATAGTTACATTACGGCTGCATCACAAACATGTTCTCATCATTACATGCAAACTGGTCGGTCTTACTGTAGAATCAGAGTTCAGTGAAAGTTTGCTAGGAAAAGTAAACTGCAATCATTTTCCAGTTCTTTGATTAATTTTTTTAACAAGACTGAAAATTTCATAAAAACTAGGCATGAAATAGCTATGGATGCAATACTTAAATCTAGTGACTGTTCATTAGGAACCCCAGGAAGCCCAATGATTAGGAATGAATTTATTGAAACCATTTCAAAACCCTAGCTTATCAATAATATGGAAATATGAAGCAAAAAGAAGCATTTCAAGTGAGAGAGGCCAACCCCCTTAAAATAGAAGACACTGTTGTACACTATGATTTAATAATCCCTGGGAAATATTTCTACTTGTGACACCCTGGAAAATAAAGTCTGCTTTTTCATTTAAAAGAATGGGAAATTTCATAGAAGACAATTATTGTCTTATTTGTCAGTTTTATTAAGTAGGCCATCACTTGAAATAAGAATTCCTTTCCATTACTCTGTCTAGCTGTAGGGCAGCATTTCTAAATACCGTACATCATAGTATCTTCATGTGTTGTAGAAAATGCTGGGATCAGTTCAGAAGGGACATGTAATTCTTCATCCTATTCTGCTATAATCACTGAGTTCTACTTTGAAGTGTGCTGCCAGGGTTTATTCTGCTTTGGTTCTTTGGGGGAAATGCTCTACATTGTCATCTGAAGATGGCAAAGGTAGATTCCTTCTGATCTCCTTTGAGAATGTGTTCTAAAGCTTTGGGCCTCCTGCCGTAATTATTTTTTCCCCAGTTCCCTCCAATTTGCACATGGGCTGAATTATTTGTGATATGTTGGCCAATTGTAGCTGCCGAGGTGGGTTGCAAAAGAAGAAGCATTTCTTGCGAGAGCAAATATGCTTAATTGAGGGGGTAGCTGGTATAGCTGCCCCGTTCCTCAAAGCATTTCCCCCTTTCCAGCCTTCCTGGGTTGTTTGAGCCAACTGTTCAACAGTCTCCAGTTTCCACCATGCAGGCTCCAATTTCCACCATATTTTGAGATATTTGGGAGGCCACACTGTCTATGCAAGATATGAAAGGCATGAAGAGCAGTATGTCATTGATACATAACTGGCATTGCAGCCCATGTTGTCTCACTATGTCCCTCAATGGTTGTACATCGACACTCCACAGGCCACAACTGACAGCAAGGAGGAGCAGTTGCTTTCTGTGAGAAAAGAATTAGATTAGCCAAAGCAGCATGATTCTGTTCCTGTCAGGACAAACAGACAGGGCAGCAGTACCTTGTGGTAAAAACCAGTGGTAGAATCAGCAGCCTCAACATAGTTGTTTCACCTCCGTCCATTGTGATGAGAGATTATTGCACTTTTGCTACTCCACAGCTATTTTGGTACAGTAATCTGGCTTGAAGGAATCTGGGATATCAGTGGAGGTCAGATGTTGTTGAAGTTGGTCTACTATCATCATCTTTATCACCTTGACTAGAAATGGGAGATCCAAGACTGGATGGTACTGGATGAGGTTGTTGGCACAGAGTGTTGATTTTTGTTCTCTTTGGAGGACAAGAGAAAGATTGCTGCATGATTCCTGCATGGGGGATTAGAATGTCTGTTTCTGATAGCATTGGGCCAACACATTCCTCAATGGCTTTGACCACCAGGAAGAGGCATGGGTCCAGGTCACAGGTGGGAGTACTGGCTTAATAATAAGAATGCCTAGCTCTTCAATAGTGCTGGTTCTCTGAGTACGTTACCAAGGATGTCAGTACCACTATTCCCATTTTATTGATAGGGAAACATAAGCACAGAGAAGTGAAATGACTCGCTCAAAGTCACCCAACAGGGTAGATGTAGTGCCAAGAATAGAACCCAGGTCTTCTGAGTCCTAGTTAAGCACCCTAGCTCCTAGGCTACACTTCTTTCAATGAGTCTAGCAGGAAGGACAGAAGGATAGGAGGGGGAGCATGGGAGCTATAGACTGTGTAGGGAGGGATCGGCTCCAGGATGGGAAGTTCTTACTGCTGTTCCTACAGCCCTGAGCACTGATGTCTCCCACCGAGAGGCCAGTTTCCTTGTCCTATCACCTGCCCCACCCGAACAGCTGGCACACAAGCTCCTGCTCCTTCCCAAGGCCAGGTGTCTCTGCAGGGACTGGAAGTGGCTGAAAGATGGAACTGGGCTGGTCCAGGAGTCCTACCTGGTCTACAGCAGCCACCTTGATCTCATCTGTGCCACAGGCCAGTGATGGCTGCAATGCCTCCTCCGGGTTTTGCTTGCATTTTCCCCCCCTCCTGCCCCACACCCACACGTGGAGAACATAGCCAGGTACTTATCTGCTCTCACCTCTGCCAGACGTTGTGGGGGCAGAACTGGTGAGGAATGGAAACACAGATCTACCCCCCAATATTCCCATTGAGGGGGCACACAGAGCCCAGTTCTGCCACCCCTGGATTCTAGTACCTCTTTTTGCAAACTGTGTGTGTTGCTTTTCTGGTAAGGTCTGTACAATTCTGGATTCAAGTGCCTGCTTGGATTTGTTAATCCTTGTCATCAAAGTAGGAAGAGATTTTTTTTCACAGCAGGACGAGGTTGGAGTTGCTGTTGAGAGGAGGCAGTCTGAGCTTTATGCCAGTTTTATTCTGGTGTAATGTCATTGCAATTTAATGGAGTCACCCTAGCATGAAAGAGGAGTAACATCTTGCTAAACCAGGCCTGGTAAATGTGGAAGGATGTGTTGTCCATATTAAAATTAATTGTCTGCTCTTTCCTTTGACATTTTTCCTTTGCCAGAAATAAAAGTTATCGTTCACCTTGTGTTTCTCTTGTCATGTAATGGAGGATTTGAACCACGCTCACCCTTTGGCTACAGGAACATGCGTTTTGTAAAGCTGTGTTCTGGAATCAGTGTTCAATTAACTACTGAATTAATTGTAAATTAGAAAACTGTTAAGAGCTTACTTGGTTTGATTGATGTTATGTTCTTCTAAGCTGAGTCACGTACAACATAATTTAGTTTTAGGGACCATCCCAAAGTTACTGGGCCTGATTCTTCACTCATTTGGATTTTCCCGTTTGTTAAGCAATGTGCAGGCTATGTACTGTATTCTTCTTCAGGCAGGAGTTACTATCTCAACTATTAGACCTCCTAATTTGGCCAACTAATTATAGTCCCAATTCAGCAAAGTACTTACACACTGCCTAACTTCAAGTACATGAATAGCCCATTGAAGTCCATGAGGTTACTCGTGTGCTTAAAGTTAGGCACATGCTTAAGTACCTTGCTAAAATTAGGTACTTAGTTATAAGCTTAGTTATTAAAAACTTCAGTCACAACACTCAGGATGGTAGTGTCTCAGTGGAAGTATTATAATGAGCGGGGCAGCATGAGTGCATCTATTTAAAGAACAGAACACAAAAAACTTACCACATGGCAAATTATTAAAACATTCTCTTTCCTTAAACCAGAATTGTTTTTCTCCTTCTGTATATTTCATTTCAATGGTGTTAGCTTAATATACAGCATCGCCAATGGATTTATCAGTGCCAAGCCAATTTAATGAGCTGTAATTTTACTGTACAAATGAAATCCCTGCTTGGAGGTCCTGAACTCCCTGCACTAGGAGAAAGAGAGGCATGAGGATTAAAGTTAATAATTCCCCCGTCCTCCGCTACACACATGCATATGTACAGACAAGGGAAAGAAGGAGCTTCGTTGAAGTGCTGAGAAGCAGAAGAATTATGTGTGGGTGTCAATAAGTTTGGGATATAGCTAGTCTCAGTAGCATTTTAGCACCCAGGATTTCTGAACAAAAACATGTGACTAATAATTGAAGAATATGGAGAAATTTGACTGAGACAGAAGCAAAGAGGAGAGCTGATTTGCAGTTTGTAAATGGTCTCTGCAATGAAAGTTAGACAGAAAAGACTAAATTAACCCAAACACAATATCAGCAGGCATTTTTATCTCAAGATGGTGGGCTCCACTTAAGGGCAGGCTGTTCAGTAAGAGTAAAGTTAATCCAGTGCCAGCTGTGGGTCAAGCTCCTTAGACATGGCAGCTAACAACACTGCTTATTAACCCCCTAGGCTTTTGCCAGCCTCAATATAGAGTTTAAACAGTCCCCTTGGGATCTCCACTCTCTCTTGACACCAAGTAAGTGGAGCCTGTGATATTAGGATCTTTTACCATAACGTCCCAGAAAATCCAACTTCCTCTGTTCCAAAAGGACCAGACTCATACCAAGGGTCAGTTCCTCCTTAGATCTTCCTCCTTTACCCACCCAGGCAGTGCTCAGTCTGATCCTGTAATAAACTTATGTTGGCTTTATTAATTAAATGAAAATGAAGCAAGAGAGATTTGCCCAATGTTAAAAATACAGACAAAGACGTAAACTTATCTTATCATCTCATAAAAATTCAACGCTACAAAACCTTACAGGTTCAGCTTCTGAGGCTTATCCCAGTTGTGACAGCTCTGGGTCCTTTACCTGGCAAAGTCCTTGCTTCTTAGGATCCAGTCTGGTAAAAAGAACCTTGTTTCCTTTCAGTAGGCAGCTTTTATCCGAAAACCTGGCCATGTGACTGTTCTGACCCTAGGGCTCGTGGATGCAGTGGTGAAGGGGGAGGAGGGTCCATGATGTAATACTTTGTAACTCATCCTTGGGTGGGAGTGGCCCCTTCTCCATTGTCCCATAAACTGGTTTCTACCTGTTGTATTGAGAAACAAGGAGTTTCCTCTGGACATGTTGATTTTTACTGGGTATTAAGAGATCACTCTCTCCTTTAAGGGGTGTAATCATCTCTATCAGCAAAACTCAGCAATGATTAA